AATTCCAGTCACTGTCATCTAAGTTGTTGTTGCACCAATTGAGACTACCGCTCACAAACACAGCAATTCTGGGATAAACAAACCCACTACTAAATCCTCTATCACATCTTTTCCATGTCCCAAGCTTAAAACTATACACCAAAACCACATATTCATCATCACCATTATTGTCACCATAATAAGCATAAACAACCTTGTAGTCGTCATTATGCATGTCGTATCCAAATCCAAATATGCTTATGTAGCTGAACTGCCATACGTCTGGGATTGTCTTGACGTTTCCATTTAATGAAGGGTTCCAAATCATTATTTGATACGGTTTAGCACGAAAGCAAAAGAGCCCATTGCAAGAACCCAAAAATTCAAAACCATCTTTAGGGATTAAGACTGAGCGGTCAATTGTAATAAACTTTCGAAATGATGATTGCTTATTTTCTGTAATAGAAAACAAGGACATATAGCTAATACGATTTACACTGCTATATGTCATGACCTTAATATCCTTTTTCGAATGAAAATTTAAGTGCAATTTGACAAATTCTGGAGATGATATTAAAGCACGCCAAACTTTTGAAACACACCTAAATTGCAGTAGAGATTTCACAGGCAGCCTTTTAAGGATTTCTGTGATTATATCTTGATTCAAATTTTCTTGTTGCATATGGCGCTTTGGAGTAGGGAGTGACATCCTGATTGTGTGTCTTAGATAAAAATTTCTTTTGTTATCTGAAAATAAAATATATATATATATATAATTATATATTTTAACCCAACTCTGATCTATTTCTCACTATATCCACAAGAAATTTAAATGTGAGTACATACAAAATGAATAAAAGCCATACAAATTACAAAAATATTCCAAAAAGGAATTAGTTTAACAACAAGGAATTAGTTTAACTATATATATATATATATATATATATATATATATATATATATATATATATATTGACTTCACTTATTTTTATAGCGTTACCTTCACCCACCTACCTAACCATCAAACACCACCTACCTACCCCTACCATCACTATTTCCTATATTCCTATATTATAATCACATTCTTTTTACGCACTATAACCTATTTATTTATTCCTACTAGCTATCACCTACCTATTTAATCCATCCCCAACTATCAATGCTCCACAACTGTCTACTTACCCATTACTGCATATGCATCTATTGCATTCATATTTCTTTTACTTGTTTTACTATTATTTCTAACTCAATCCCATCTACCTAACCACAACTCCATATATAACAACTTACATACTTACAATATTACTTGATACTTTTATCAATTGTCACTACATTTTTATTTCTTTATGAGGAAAAAAATAGTGCAAATTAGTTTCCTATTTTACAAATTAATAAATAAATAGATTTGAACTCATTTAATAGCTTCTAATGAAAATGAAAACTTGATATTTTTTTAGCTGTGTGCACGTGTGTGTGCGTGTGTGTGTGTGTATATATATATATATATATATATATATATATACATACATACAGATAGAGAGAGATGAAGAGAGAGATCGAGATAGAGAGAGAAAATTATATCAAAATTGCACAAAACCTATTTGAAGTTTGTTAGGTTTTTTTTTTTTTTTTTTTTTTTTTCGTAATCTCTTTCTCACTTTTAATGGCAGACAAGTCTGTTAATGCGGGTGTTTTAAGTAACAAAAATTTAGAAAAAAATAGAAAATGTATTCAATAAAACATGTTTCGAAATGAATTTGTCAATGTTTTCACAATTTCAATTTCATTACAAAGAAAACAATTTTTTGTGGTTCAAATTAAAGGAAACATACATCTATGCTTCTAAAAAAATTTCAAGTCTTATAGCTAGTAAAGGGGATGAGACTAGAGATTACCTTCTCAATCTAAGGAGTTTCGATGACGATTGGAGAGATCGGGTTCCAATCGAGAGATGAGAGTCAAAAGAGATCGACAGCGAGAGCGAAGATTAAAGTGAGAGGAGACAAACTTGAGAGAAAGAGGATTTCGGTGCGGCTTAGAAAGAGAGAGCGGAGGGTAGACGGGGAGGAAGAGGGAGGGAAGGAGGGAGGGAGGGAGAGAGAGAGAGGAGAGGGTAGTTGGGAGATATGGTAACGGACGAAGAAAGCGTTACGGTTTGACAGAATTAAATTGGGTGGGCCAACCGAAAAAAATTTCCTTCAGAGAATTTGGTCTATTTGTTTGTTAATGTAGAAAAGGTAAGGAGTGTACAACATGGAAATGTAGAAAATGGAAATTGAAAAAAAAAATTTCTATACAGAGTAACCCTTAAAGTATATTTGGTTTACGTAATTGAGTTTTGAGGAAAAAGAATAATATTCAATAGGGAATCAAAAAGCGAGATATAGACTATGAATTAAATTCCATTTTTGGTTATTGAAATGTATATATTTTAGGAATTGTATTTAGGTTTTGGTTCGTTTTAGAAATAGAAATTATGTAAGTATTCAAATTATTGAAATGCCCTATATAATAAAAGATATTTATTCTCAAGGATAGCATATTCTGGTGAATAGTATTTTTCAAGAATATATAAACTTAAAAAATGATCGAATAAGTGTACTCATAAAAATTCTATACCATTCTAAACATATTCAACGAATCAAACATGTTGTTAGTCTTTTAGATTCATGTGTGTTTTATTCTTCTTTAATTTGTTGAATCTTTTGTTTGGCAATTAGGCATTCTATTACTTTTGATACATCACTTATGATTTTTTTGTCCAGGCCAAAGCATAGAATTGGAAAATATAATTTGTAGTAATAATGAAAACATGGGGTTTTAGAGGAAGGTGTTAGATAGTGACTACCATTCAGCGTCTTGAAAGTGTGTCTTTGATATTTGGACAAGTACCAAACTGAAAGGGATATACAAGACATTGAATTAAAAGAAAGAGAAGATGATGATGACCCAGACATAAGTTGTACCGGTCTTTTATAATCTCTAAAGAACTGGTTCTCTAATTCATCAAAATGTTTTAGATCGTGGGCCGGGATGTGCCATGAAATTTTGAACCACATCATCACATGACTCCATGTATGAAACCTTTGTATGATCACACGTGGTTTACCCCAAGCGGTACATAGGCACTACTATATGTTGGCATGCTCATGCTTGTGTGCAAGGCAAATAGCATAGTGTAGGCTCATCGCGCAAAGCACATAACCCCTGTGTAAGGTTTGCGACATGGCTACACCTCTAGCCTTATCTCATGCCCCACATTCTACCAGATTAACGATAACCACATCCTAATTAAGAGCATGAACAACCTGAGAAAAATAGGGAGAAATACCTAATTCACGATGTCATCCAAAATGCGTTAGAATTAAAGATCTTTCGACCTTAGAATTAGAGCAAGAGATTGCCCCACTTTTATGACGCCTCAATCCCAAACTCTTAAACTCAAAGGCATTCTTGGGTCCCACTTTTCCCCCTTATGCAAAATCTACATAACCAGCACTTAGGAAAGGGATTAATCGCTATCCAAACTCCATACGGAACTACTCACACTTCAAAAAGAAGAACAAGTTAAAAGCACAAATGAATATTAAGAACATTATTGTAGAGGAAATAAAAGAAAGAGTATGGAAAAGCTTCTCTATGTAGATGCAATGTTGAGGTTGAATTCGACTTCGATCCGAGATTAAAAGATTGAAAAATGTGTTGATTAAATGTAATCTAAGCTAGTCTAAACTTAAAAGATGAAAGGAACAAAAGGGAACCCGATTGAAACTATCTAGCGTTCGTCTCCCCAAAATACAACATAGAACATGTTTAAATACTGTTCAGATTACCCATAGTGGCACAACCAAGGCCATGGTCGTGCCTAATTCGGCCTATAATGAAGTGCACATTGCCTCCATTTGGCATGACCTAAAGCATGGTTTGTGTAAAATCTTTCAAGAACGGCCTTGACCTGGTGGCCATGCTAATTCTCCTAGTGTGCTCCTCGTTCTTCGTTTGTTGCTCCATTCTTGAACGGGTTCTTTAACTCCAAAATTGACCGGAAATGCCCCAAAATACTTTCCTCTTTAATTTTTGTGAATAAATGTGCCTAAGACAATAAAGCAAACAAATAAGTCTCAATACACACATGATTCGGGGAACTTTATATTATGCACAAAATAGGCTAAAGTATGGAGTAAAATATAATAAAGAATATGTTTTATCAGTATGCGTACAATGGAAGAGGCAGTCTACAACATAATTAGAGATGAAATGCACTCTAAAATTTATAACTTTAGTCCCTTAGAAGAATTCTTGATCCAAAAAGTTTCTATGTTGAACAAGAAGAAAACAGCTAAAGAATAAGGGCCTTCTATCCATGACGATGACGGAGATAATTATGATCAGTGAAATCTAGAAGCTACCAACCATCTCTCCAGAGCTCAACATGAGTCAAGCCTAACTGTGGTGCCTGGACAGTCTTCCATGTCAATGGTTGAAGGGGCCACAAGCTGAAGTTACTCTGGAAGGAATTGAATAGAGAGATCAGAAGAAGTTGGTCCGAAAGGAATAGTTGTTCCAACAGTTGTTCCGGAAGGAGTGGAGAAATCATAAGAAGTTGGAGCCACTGTTGAAATTTCGGAGGCAAAGGAGAAGAACAACCAGAAGAAAATGTTCAAATCTCATCCAATAACATTTTCGATGAGAGCAAATTTGCCAATGACTCTATCAACCTGGTGATTGACTAACTAGAAGGAACTAAGAGAGGTGTAGAAGAACCTAAGTTTCCCAAGGTTGTGGATAAAGTTGTATAGGGTACTGAACCAATAAAAAGGGCTAAATTAGAGAAACCCCTATACCAGAACTTAACGGGAATGTTCTTGATGTTCCAATGGTAGAAAGGTATTGGAGGAGAAGTTGGTACCCAATAAGAACCTATGAGGAACAAGCTACAGAGAGTTGTGAAAAATATCTTCATTGTTTGTTGGACAAAAGAAAGAGCTTACATGCAGGAAGATGGTTACCCTCGTCCCTTATCAGTCCTCTAACAACCCCCGGTAAGCTGGAGCGTGTAGGTCTTGAATGCCCAGCTTTGAGACTAACAATTGATAAGGAGAAACTGGAAGGAATTTTGTAAACCCGTCAGTTGCCTGGTTGGATGATGAAACAGATAGTAACTTGACGAGCCCTTGAGTGACTTTCTCACGAACCACATGGCAAACGATTTCTATGTGCTTCGTTCGTTCGTGGAAAACGTGGTTCTCGGCGATGGCAATCGCGGACTTGTTGTCGCAAAATAATGTGGCTGCTCTATCTGTCTGAACATGCAAGTCTATCAATAAGGAGTCGAGCCACTGGATACAGTAGCTTGTTTTTTGTTTTTTTTTTTTTAATTTCCAAGACACAGAGTAGAGCCAAAGAACACCCAATCGGAATCTGAGAAGGCGTTAAGCTGCCGGATACTGTTGGTTGGATAGAACAGCCCTTGGCCTGGAGCACCTTTGATATAGCAGAGGACACGGTGAGCCACCATCAAATGTTTGTCAGTAGGGCTGTCAATGAATTGACTTAACTTTTGGACAGGAAAGCTTATATCTGGCCGTGTTGCTGTGAGGTAGAGTAATCAGCCTACCAACCTTCTGTAACAAGCTAACATCATCAAGAATATTTCCATCATCATGTGTTAAGCGATGGCCTAGGACCATGGGAGTTTTAGCAGGCTTGTGGTCATGGAAGCCAGCTTCATTCAAGATATCCAGAGTATACTTCCGCTGACAGAGATTGAACCAGGAGTCACACATTCTAGCCTCGATTCCCAGAAAATACCCAAGGTTATGAGATCTTTGATCTTGAAAGCTGTATCAAGGAAAACTTTAAGTTCTTAAATGACATTAATGTCTCCACTTGTTACTAGAATGTCATCCACGTATACTAATAGAGCTATGAACAGTGCGTCGCAACCTTTAGTGAATAGCGAGGGGTCTGACTTAGACTGAGCAATCCAATATGTATTAGCGGTGCCATCAGTTTTGCATTCCATTGTCGGCTGGCTTGTTTGAGTCCGTATAACGAGCGCAATAATCTACACACTTGATTTGGCTTGGTGCCCTGAAAACCTGGAGGCAAAACCGTATAGACCTCCTCTTGCAAATCATCGTGCAAAAATGCGTTATTTATGTCTAACTGATGAATGTGCCAAGCATTAGAGGTGGCTATAGCTAGGAACGTTCGGATGGTGGTTATACGAGCCACCGGAGAGAATGTTTCAATGTAGTCAACCCCGAGTTGTTGCGTATAACCTTTGGCCACCAATCTTGCTTTGTAACGTGATAAGCGTCAAAATATTCTAGTTTTTAACGACATTTCGAAGGTGTTTTATGCATAATTTAGCATTAAAGTCGTGTGCTTTATAGTAATTTACCCTAAAAACGTGATTTAGCATAAAGAAACCTTCACAATTGTACTTTTTATGTGTTTAGGTATTTTCGGATGAGAAAAAGTGGCAAAGAAGGATCAAAAACGTAAAATCCAGAAAAATGTGCACCAAGACACCAGTCACGCCCGAGTCACGGCGTGACGGAGACGTGAAGACGCCCAATCAATCACGCCGCAAGCCACGAACGTGACTAGCTACCTTCCCTATCGCGGTACTAGCTAATCTCACAATGCAATCGGCACACCATCATAATCTGTTTTCTTCCTTATTGTTTCAATCCTTTTTTTCCCAAGCACCTTTGTTCCTACCTTTTTCTGCAACCATCACTTCACCACACTCTACTTTGATCAAGAATTCAAAACTAGATCTACCTCACGTGACCCTTTTCTCAAACTTGCAAGTTATCATTCATTGAGTACGACAACCCGGGAATCTTTATTCCCAACCTTCTTTCCATCCACAGCTATCTATCCCGTCATAACGCTCAACCGTGCCGTCTGCCTTAAGCTTAATTTTGAACACCCATTTGCATCCCATGGGAACCTTTCCATGGGGTAACTCAGTCAACTCCCAAGCAGTGGGAGCCAAAATGGGGCAGTGGGTCAGCTTCCCCACTCACCTCTTCCCATTAATATATATTCATAAATTATGGTTATGATATATGAAATGGTATGGGTTCAAATCCTACCTACAGCGCTTTAATATATTTTTATAACATTTCAAAGTGTTTTAAAAATTTCACCTTACCCAAGTGTTTTAAAATATTTCACCCTACCCAAGTACAATTTTGGCTTCATTCCTAACTATCATATAGTCTATCATAAACATTTATTATAATTTGTTAATGTATTTGAACCGTATTATAGGTGTTTGATATTTTGGAATTAACAATTCTAAAATCATCTTAAATACGCCCCCACTCACTTAATTTTCTGGATCCGCCACTGCTCCCAAGTATTGTTGTCTTGAAGAGCCTTGATTTCGGCATTTATAACTTCCTTCCAATGTTCATGTTTTACGCCTAGATTATATGTTCTAAGTTCAATAGTGGAAATGACTACTATAGAGAATGCTTTATGAACAGGAGTGAGGTGACTGTAAAAGACTACCTTAGAGAGATGATGAGGTCATGATCTGTGTTGCACAATGGCATCACAATAGTAGTCCTGCAATCTTCCTAGGCATTTCGAACTCTATTTGATCGCCTGGGTTGCACGGGGGTATGGACTCACCATCTGTATGTTGAATAATAGGCTTCATTGGGCTAAGAATCTCAGCATCTGTATGCTGAGCACTAGATTCCGTCCTTGGGCTATGAATCTCATCTATTGCTATTTTTGTATTGATTGTTCATTAATTTTCATGCAAGGCACACTGTTAGATGGAGGTAGAACACCATGATACTGCCTTGAACCAGCCTGTTCATAGAATATAGGAATGGAGGTGGAGACATTTGGCAAAGAGGGAGAGAACTGATCTGCCTCTGGTTCCTCAAGGCAGTGATCATTTTTCAAGGGTGGATTTGTCAAGTGTGTCATAGAGGATGTACCCTTTAATATTAGCTGCTTCCCAATGAATACGCATCTCCTACTTCGTGGTGCTATC